AGCGGGATTCATCGCTAAAGACTATACGTCCCCAGTCGGCATCATTCCAGCCATATCTGTTCAAAACATTCATGCATACGAAATTTCAAGGCAATCGGATGATTGCTTCCTGGTGTATCGATTTTTTTGTTATAGAGTGTAATTGTAGCTCGCGTGGAAGAAAGGAAAACAAATATGTTTTCGTCAGATGATTCTAAATTTTATTCTAATTTTCTAATTTCGTTCAAATTTTATTCTAATTATATGAGTTATTCTAATTTTCTAATTGGTCACCACTAGTCAAGCCTGCAACCTCCGAACTCGTACAGAATTGCGATTTCGATTTTGGATTCCGAAATGCTTGTGAAGAATGCTTTACGAAATTTGTCTCCACGATAAAAACCAGTTTCCGATTAGAATCGTTTCACATCGGAAATTATTTTAGTTAGTTTAAGCTCTCGGACCAGGTAAATTGGGATAAAAATAAATACAAAAAACCTACTTCATTTAAAATGTCGTAATTTATACAATATTGATTTGAATGTTTCTTTATAAATAATAACAATTTAATAAATGATAATAATAAGAGTAATAAAAATATAAATATATTTTAACGATATCAATAGAATTAAAAACAATACAATTATTTATAACTAGTGGGCTGCCCCCTCTGCTCGCTAACGCTTGCCAATCCCCGAAAATTGCTACGCAATCTTATATGGTTTGCTTAGCAAACCAAGCTAGCTTCGCTCGCTACTAACTTAGGTATATTGCAAATGCACAAAATTCTAAGAATTCAAAGCAATCATTCAAATCCATATAACAAATTTTTTTTTAACTTTTCTTTTTAGTAAATACTAAGTCATTAAAATAAATTTGAATTCAAATAAATGACAATTTATGGATCAAATAAATTCGTGATATAAATCAAAAATCGTCAAATAAATTCTTAATATATAAATTCGTGAAAAAAAGCGCTTTCGACAAAATACTAAAATAGAGATCTATCGACAAAGACTACTCACTTCTGCCTAGCTTAATAGTATGAGATTGCTGCAGCTGAATTGCTCTCTCTGGTTATTTCAGTTTCCGTTTTTAAAAGCGCTATATGTTGAGCCATCTCAGCTAGATTTGGTATGTGACATTTTTAGCGGCAATCATTGGTCGATTTTCTAGCGTTGCCATTCGGAGAGTTGTAATGAGGCTTTTTTTGTCGCCGTGTAAGAGAAATATATATATAGATTGCAATAATAAATCTGACACTTCCATCTTGAAATTTTTTTGTCACCGTATAGTCACCTATGCGAAAATGACTGTTACAAAAGGTATTTTCCTGCATTTTATAACACATTGTAATTCACGCGTAATTTCGCACGCTGAACACAAATAATTGCGTTAAGAAAAAAATATTTTGTAGCATTTATACAAGTACTTCATCTTACACAATTCGTGTGTGGGGATTACAAATGTGAAATTAGTTTTGTTCCCATAGCTGCAATTTTTTTCTTCAAATTTATATTTTTAGTGTAATTTATTTATTTATTTTTCTAATTTGAAAATAACACTTAAAGGCCTGGTTTCTTAGGACAAGCGCCTTATCTGGGCGTCAGCGTTAAGTTGACGTTACCCTGACGCAAACAAAATACTGGTTTGTTAGCTCAAGGCCTGGTTCCAAATAACGTAAACAAATATTTATTTTGAATTTGTATTGATTTTGTGATTGTCAACCATAAAGAACAAATAATGACTTTGTCCAAGAAAAAACACATTATAGCTTAGCTAAATGGAGAAGAAGAGGAAAAAGAAGTTATGTTTAATGCTAAAATTAAAATCTTGACTGATTTCAATGCTCTGTTGTTGGCTGTTGTCCGACATTGCTTCTGTTGTTAACGTCACGTTGTAATCCAACTGCAGTTGATTTGGACGGCAGTTGTCGTTCAAGCTGAGCGTTCGATGACGTATGCTGTCAAACTCATAAATTGACCTATCAAAGGTAAACGTTCGTTTCAAGCTGACGTCGACGTTTCCTAAGAAACCAAGCCTTTAGATGAAATAAATATGATCTTATTTAACTGAAATTTCCGAAAGAAACGGGACACTTAGCTATCTCTCGAGGAAGTTTTAAAATATCCTGGTTCGTTGTATGTTGTTAAATTGCCTAAAAACTCTAGCTAGAGAGAAACTGTTTCCACGTTTGAAATCAGCGATGGGTAGAGACATCAAAGATATGTTAAAAATTCTCATGAAACAGAAAATAAGAAAGAAATATGTTCCTCAGTGATTACAAAGATTATTTTTGGCTTCTGTTAAAAACTTCTGTTACATATTCAAATTCATACATACTAAGAAAAAATGGAAGCTACAGTTGCAGTGTCAGACACGTCAAAATATGTGCCTCTCGCCTCGACAAAACTATAGAAATGTGACTTAATGCCTTCATCGACCAATCACACATGGTCTAGTTTTTTTCGAATAGTTTTTAGTTTAAGCAAGTGAAGTAAACAAGAAACATTTAAATTATTACTAAATACTACTTACTTTTTGATTAGTGGGGCCATATCCTCCTCTTGACTTCCATATTTCTATGTAATCTACGCAATTTGTCTCGTAAGGTGCAGGTAAAAGTTTCTTCACAACCTGAAGCACATAGATAAGTATTTAATAAAATCACAGTATGAAAAATTAACAAATATAACTTAATGGTATTTTACATTTATGAACATATTTTCAAAATAAAGGAACACCTTTTTAAGTCGGAACTCTTGAATCGTGTTGGCCTCCATTGGAAATCCATAATAGAACGGATTAATGATCTGTCGAGCATTGTGAATGGAGATATATACAGTAGCAGTTTTACAATAAGCGGGATACTCTTCAATATGAGGAAGCACAATCAGAACATTTTCTAGAAAATATGTTAAAAATATTTGCACCATAAAATTAATGTTTATTCCAGGTTTATAGAAGGCAAAATAAGCAATACCTCTATTTTTATAACATCATCACCAATATGTGTGAACAATATTTCCATTATTCTTACTAATATCATACCAAACAAAATCCTTAAACTAAATACAAAAGAAAACGTGCTATACTGCTGAGCTATCGTACAAACAATCTAAAAACCTCACAGTAGATTTCGAGAAAAGTGGTTTAACAACCATTTTCATTTTATTACTGATGTAATGAACATCAAAATAAAATTTCAGAAAACGATGAAATAAAATTTAATTTTGTAAAAAAAATTTTCAGTAAGTGACTTATCATTCAAAAGTGCCAAATATATTAAAATCACAATTTTGGAATTGTTTACCTTTAACGTTGGTTTTTCTATTGCGCTGCAATATCTTTTTCCACTTCCTCTTTATTTTATTAGTGAGGAGAAAAAGCCGATTCTTGAATATTCACGATCGCAACTCTTGAACACGCCCTCTAGCGGGTAGTATATTTTCAGGCTTTTATTTATTAAGTTTTCGTTTAGCTCTATGAAAAATATTGGCTGAGTAGAACGCCATTTTTTAACAGAGAATACGAGGCAAAATTTCCCTAAGGAAAAGGCAGAAGAGCTTCGGGGGACGACACAGAACATTAATAAATCTTTCTGAAACAGAACGCGCCCTACATTCGAAGAGCAATTTTTCAATTAACAATTAACCCAATTGCAAATTAAAGTGAAGTCAACATTGCTTACTTCATTCCCATAAATAAATGTGATTTCAGAACGTGCAGAACTCTAATGGTTGAAGAATATTCTTCTTCTTCATAGAATAATACATATTTCTGAATCTATATAATTCGGAAGACAACAATAAGGAATCATCCGAATTACTTGAAACGGTATCATTTGTGTTGATCATTCATAATTTTTCACGTTTTCTTGGTATTTTTTAATTTTAAATGAATAATTTCAACTAAAATTAAGCTATTCTGTTTTTAAGTTGCATATTTAGATTCATATCGAGTTCTTACAATTATAAAATTTTGTTGTTCATCTAAAAGTAATGAAGGGATAATCTATGTATATATTATTTGAAAATAAAATTTTCAAATGAAGAATATTTCATTTCGAATAATCCGGATTTATAAAACAAGAAAGTGTAATGATTTTTATTTCAATATAAGGAGTTTTTAGAATCGTTTTTTTTATCGTAATCATTCTTTATTTTTAGTTTATAAAAAATGTTTTTTAATTGAAACTTTTGATAAAAAATTCTTGTCAAAAAACTTTTTCTGCAAAAATTAAACCGTCTAGCATTATGTGCTTCTATATACTTTTTGCATGATTTTAATGTTTGAAGTAATATGACACAGAAGAGTATAGAATGTAAAATTTAAATAGACCTTTCGCACTAGATTATTAAATTTAGTAGAATGATTTTTCAGGTTCTGGGTTTTAACTCGATTTACAAGATTTTTTTAAAATATTATCCGATTTGTTTTGGTCGTTCCTTCTTTAAAATAAAGATATTCATAATGGAAGAAAAAGAGATATTCAAAAGATTAGATATAAATATATCCTTTTGTTTTCACTTGCATACGAAACTATGCATAACATTCACTTGCATAACATTACCATACTACACTGAAGAAATTTCCAGTGAAACTGATGATTCTACTGTTCTGTTAGCACGAATTCGTCTCAAATAACAAAAGCCCCCTGTAAATCTTTGGGTTCACGAATGCTCGAGTTGAGTTGATTTTATCGTGCTGTTTAATTGATTTTGTACTATTATTGAGTTACTTGTCTTCTGCTTTTGTTTTAATTTCGGTTCTGAATACACCGGGGCATGCATCAACCGGTGTGTCTTGCTTTCGGATTGTCCATTTTTTTGTTTTGCCCGTGTGAAATAGTATGGTACTTCTGAGTAGATTAATGTCCGTGCAAAGGCACCAAAAGCATCCGCACGATTACACAATTCAAAAAATTCGGTGAGTGTAGTTTTTGGTGAATTTATAGCTCGGTCAATCGCAGTCTCGTTCGTGAAATATACGCTCTGACCGTTTTCAAGATGGACGGCTAAATGACTAACGGTTGGATCCCGTTCATGAATTGGGAATCCAAAGATACGCCAAACAGCTTCATTGGAGCTGATGTACCGGCCAATTTGATACAGCGTTATTTCGCCGTTGTTATTCACTGGAAGAGCAGTCACATTGGTATTTTCAACTCGAAATACTGCCATATCACTGCCTTTATTAACATACTTGCAAATATATATATGATGCTCTTCTTTTAAGGGTGAGCATAAGTATTAGAGTTTAACATGACTTGTTGCAACGTGCGTGAATATTATTTTTGATTTATTATGTTTCTATGTCTAGTTTGGATCCGAATACGATTAAATAAAGATATATTTAAAATATACGTTAAATCTGTCCAAAAAATGAAAAAAAATTAGATACAAACCATTCTCGAATCCTTCTGAAGGTACACAGAAAATTTCATTTAAATCGGTCCATCCGTTTAGGAGGAGTTCAGTGACATACACACGAACAGACGAAATATATATATA